GGGTGAATGATGGGGGCAGGGGTGTGGGTGTGTGGAGGGTGGGGGTGTGGGGTGTGGGGTGTGGAGGGTGTGGGGGTTGGGGTATAGCAGAGTACTGTGCCTAGAATGTTTGAGGCCATATAAGTGATCTCCTGTACCACAGAAAGGGAGATGAAAGTGAGTGTTGTGCTGGACTTGGTTACACACCTGTAATCGCAGGCATCACTTTCCTCATTCCCTCGAGTCTGTCTGCAGAGCCCAACGTAGACACCTTCTCCAAACAGCCCTTCTGGACCCTGTCATCCTCTGGACTCTGATCACCCCACTCTACACACAGTTCTCCCGGCCTGTCTACGTTAGGCCAGGAGCCCCTGGAGACAGGCTGTGTCATATTTGCTCGGAAGGCTAGAAAAGGACAAGAAGAATGGACGGGTGGCGTGTGTGAGGGTGGCTGGGTGGGCAAGCGGACAGATGGGGACTCATGAAGGAGCATGTGTGTGGGTAGATGCGGACGGTGACTCTGGGGTGGATGGGTGGCTGGAAGATGGATTGGTAGGTGGACAGGTGGATGGATGAGTCACTGAAAGGGCGCATGGTTGACTGGATGGGTAAGGATGGTGGCTGTGGAGACTTAGATGGTTACGTGGATGGCGGGTGGCTGGCTAGATGACTGGACGGGTAGACAGGTGGACGGGTAGGCAGATGGACAGATTAGTGGATGGGGTGAGTGGACAGGTTTTGTCAGTGAGAAAGCGGGGAGCTAGCGCTGAGGCAGGTGTGGCTTTCCTCTGGATGGACAGGGCTGTGGGACAAGGTTTTCTCCCTGCAGTTGTGGTGAGACCTGTCCGTGTGGCCAGGGCCATGGGTGTGCAGGAAGAGGAGGGTCAGGGCAGGGTGACAGGAACAGGGCCTGCTTCCAGGTGTTACCACACCCTGGGACTCCCCTGAAGTGACTCAAGTCCTATCAGGTGTAGGGGTATGGGAGAGGCCACACAGACCACCGAGTCAGGTCCCTGGGAAGGCGCGTCATCACTAGCTCAAGGTGGGCTGTGCGGGTCTGTCTGGTCCTGTGCTCAGGCCCGGAGACGGTCAGGGTCACGCATGGTGTCAGGGCCTAATCCACGGTTCTGCTGCCCTCTTTCATAGGGTCCCTGATCAACCTGGCTGTAGAGGGGTTGAGGCTTCTTTGGGGCCCTGGTGGAGGGGACAGGACAGGCCTGCCTCTGAAGACACCGGCCTAGCTGCTAGCTGAGGGTCTTAGTGGGCAGCGCTCTCCGTGAGAAGCTGGCTGCAGGAATCACACACCCCTCCGCCCCTACAGTTCTCACAGCTCCTTCAGGAGTGTGCCCTATCCCCAACTTAAGGAGGAGAGAGGGGCTAGATCCCCCAGGTGTGTGGTGCTGTCAAAGGGGAGGTTCTTGTAGGAACTTCTCAGAACTACAGACCACGGCGCTGGAAGGAGCCACTGGCTTGGCTGCTTTGATGATTCATTTTGTAAGGATATGGAGGAGGCCCAGAGAGGGAAAGAGCACGCTCAGAGACACACAGCACTAACTACTAGGCATCCCGGCACTCTTCTTCAGGGCTTCAGAGCCCTCCACGCAGACCCTTGAGACATGGAGAACCAAGGATGTTAAGGAAGTTGCTGGTGGCCACACAGGCTGTGGGTGGCGGGGCTGACATGGCAGCCCAGGGCTCTGGCTCCCAGCCAGCATGCAAAACCCGATACTTTGTTGCAGCTGGACTGGGACCCTCCTG